CCAATGTTTAAAGGACAACTTCTTAACTGAATACTGTATGAGGACATGGAGTATAAACTACGGTGTCTCCTTGTAAAATCCAACCAGTACATGCAGCTGTTAAACAATGCAGTGTAAGTGGGTTTGTGTGGTGAATCTTCACAGGTGCACAGAGTTCAGTTTTATGAAGGCTGGCCGTGCCATGGAGCAAAGAGATACCCTGCACAGGAGACCTTGCTTTCTCTCAGCTCCAGTTCACATGAGGCTCATTTTCTAGATCTGAAGAGTGAATTTTTAATAGCAGTCATGTCACCAGCTAAGTGTACACAAAACTCAGTTTGTCTTTCCCCAATAGTTTCTCTATAACTGCTACATATCTGTCAGAAGTTTGTTTTGAGAATCACTAGTCAGGTAAAAATCTCCATTAGCAGAGAAAAAGCTTGCCTGAGACCTAAACTAGCACTCATGCAAGTCAGTTGGCAGGGGACTTGATTTCCATATGAACCTTTCCACAGCCACAGGCTACTACAAAATCATCAATCAAAGTACTCCATCATTTCAGCTATGTTTGTATTATTTTTCAGGGCATGCCACAAGCAGAAAGCCAGAAGTCACTTAGATATCTGACCAGTTTAGTACCATTCCTAAGGCAAATCATCATTCTTTTGGGTACCTGGTAATCTACAAAAGTTAGAAAATGAAATGTCCTTCCAGGCAGGTTATGTCACACAGTGGACAACTGTGTATTCTTGCATTTTTATCTTAGGAATATGCCTCTGGCTGGATTCATAGACACAGGACTGGAAATAATACTGGGTAAAATTCATAACTGCTTCTAAATACCTTTGGAAATGGGGATCTAGGGAACTGGTTGCATAATTTAAATCTAGACATCCACTTCAGTGATTAAGCTAAGCAATTGTACTGAACAAGGCCAACCAGAAGTCTTTAGAAAATGTTAATAGAATTAGTCATTTGAGTGTGCCATAGAATAAACTGATAATCTGTTTATGTACATGGTTCAGCATTCAGGTAGAAATTAGACATTTCTTTGCTGTACCACTGCTCTTCCATCCCATATGATTCCAGGACCAACATAAGAAAGCACAAAGATTAATGTGACTGGTTTAGTGCAGAGTTATACAAAAGAGAAATAGAGCATGATGCAAGGCTTATGCAAGGTAGGAGTTATTTTTCAGGTAAGCAGAAAGCTGGTGGGTAGAAATTAGCATTTATTTCATATTCAACTTACTCGTAAGATTCAGATCTGCCACATTGCCTGCAGCATAATCTTTCACCTCCACCTTCATGAACCTGGTCACCAAGTATAGTTGGTCAGCAGGTCTCTGAGTCCCCGAGCCAGTACGGCACCAAGGCTCACAGGGAGGGAAAAATCCTGCAGCATTTGTAGCCCTGGAAATCATCTACCCTCTCTGAGCAAAAGATGCCTCCTTTGACAGATTTAACCAAGCAGCAACCTGATATCTACCAGATTTGAACAAAAATATCACAGAGTCAACTTTCAGAACATGAGAACACAATCATATTTAGAAACCAGCAGCTCTCTGAGACTCCACTGCAGAATTCATATGCTCCTTTATTACCAGTTTGCTTCTAAAGAAGCAAATATATAGATTTCTATTTCTATAGGGTCACAGAAGAACATACAAGCTTATTACAAAGATCTGATATATTTTAGATAATAACTTTATACAAGCAACAGATGTGATTTAATAGAAGTCAACGGTCTGCTTTTCCACACAGGAATCAGAGGGTTTGAAAATATCTCCATAGAAAGAAGAGGCAGAAGGGAACGTAACAAATCTTCTGTTGTCTGATTGCTGTAAAATATGCTATCACTGAAATACATTTAACTAGTCATCTTCTGTTTGGGGAATTCACAGTGACTGAGTTCCAGTTCATTACTTTAAGGTCTGTGGTGCTATTGCCAGGGCCTCAAAACCAGTAAGATGGGTCTAACCCTGGGTTAGAGAGGCTACAATAGCTGAAAGGCAATTATACTGCAGGAGAAATGTTGTCCACTAATCAGCTAGCAATCAATTACTAGGAAGAGAAGATAACCCTATCCCCACTCAAGCTCTTCAGTATTAATAGTGCCATCATGTAATTACTTTAGGCATGGGCAGGTGCATGAAAGGACAGACTCTATAGTACACTGCGCTTAAGATTAATGAGTTCTGTCAATTTGCCCAGTAGACATCTGATTCTTCAGCTTTATGTAGCCACTAGTTTTACACATGCCTCAGGGTTTTTTTCTGAAAAAAAAAAGCAACTACTAATTTAAATACATCCAAAAAATATCCATCTTTGAAAAATCCCTAATTTTACAAGTAAGACTGTACCAAAAAGATATCTAATGTGAATATCGATAGAGTATGTTTTCCTAGTTCAGTTATTCTTTAGTCAGAGTAATGAGTGAAACACAAGGTCCTATAAGCATATAATACCTGCTAGAAAAACTGACAGCATACAATCCTGCAATCACAACATTCTCAATTTCACACACACAATCAATTCCAGTAAGTAAAAAAAAAAAAAGAGAGAAAAAGAAATGTTTCAGTAAATAAGTCACTGCTCAGAAACCAAGACAAAGCAAATACAGAAGCACTTTGCTGTTAAGTTAGCAAACACGCTGAATGAGCACAGCTTCCAAAAGCAGAATCATTCTCTGTGACAAGCTACAGCCCACAGAGTTAAGTCAGGCGTACGTAGGCCTATGGGTCAAGAGCAAAATGGCTTAAAATAGAATTTCTATCTGGAAAGTGGATTCTTTTTCCTTAAAGTTACATCTACTGGAGTAAGCAGCAAAAGACAGTTTTTGAGGAGTTCTCAAATGAAACATGACCAGTTCTTAGAAGCATCTTTCCCATTTGGGAGGTGCATGAACAACTCCCATCCTCAGAAAAATATGACCTATTCAGGATTTTAAGAGACCTTCACTCTTACTAAAACCCTGTTTCAAGAAGGTGCTTAAACACTTGCCTAAATCTCTCAAAAATAATCCGAGATATTTAAAGTCATTTAGCTGCTTAAACATGCAGACAGTCTCTCAAAGATCCTCTTAGGCATCTCTCTGAAAGTTCAGACTCTTAAATACCTTTGAAAATCTGGCTCAAAGTACTTGGCTGTACACACACAGAGCCCTCGTGAAACAGCACACTGATCTCCATTTGTATTTTTAAGTGCAGTCCATCAATAAAAACGATAAAATAACAATAAAAAAATGGGCTGGACTCAAAATAGAAAATTCCAGTACTACAGCTATGGAGGTTACCACTCATCAGTCAAATTGCATTAACTATAATCATAGGTAAGGTCCACATCCTTGAATTGCAAAAACTTATTTTACTAAAAGTCATAGGAATTATGGTGAAGGTAGTAAGCACTAACTTTTTTTTCTCCCACTGACTTGGGTTGAATTTGATCCTAAAGCACCAGTGCAGTTTCTGCAGTATAAATCTCACTGGCTTGTAAACAATCTTTTCTTCTTTTTATTTTTCAAAGTATTTCTTCCAAAAATTTAAGCCCTTAAAATGGGCCTAAGCCAAACAACATGAAAAAATTGTTCTCCAAGCTTTTCTGTGACAGATACAATAACTGACCTATTTACTTCTCTCCAAAGTCAATGGCATCCTGTTTGTTCCTTTTCTGTTACTTCTGTTTGATTATGGAAAACAGCTAGCAGTATGTATTTTTTTACTTTCCATCTAATGTCACAATTGACCACCCACAAAATCTTTCTCAAGACTACATTTATTGGATACTTGATTCTGTTAATTAATTCTCTGGATTAATTTCTTCTGAAGTAATGTTATCAATTGTTTCCAGTAAAGAAAAAGCAGGCCAGCAGTAACTTGATTTTCACATAAATGGATTATGCCTACACAAATGTAGTGGCTGAAGATACCATTGATCCATGTTCATTGGCTGCTGCTGCTGTTTCAATTGTTATTTGATATGGTAAAGGACAACAGAGTAGGAAATGGTTTTGATCTCAAGCAACTGTTTCTAAGAAGATACCAGCAACTCTCACAATACATAACTTACAAAATGTATTCTATGCATTGAAAAGCACTAATCCTTAAAATTATAACTATTTCTGAGACTCATGGTTTGATCCTGAAAGATGCTCAAGTTCACAGAAGGCATTTGAATTGAGGCCACTCGGTATGCAATAAAAATGTGTGGGAATTGCCAGGGGGAGGAACTATTCTACAAATTGAAGAGCGACAAAAAATATGAAGTGTCCTTGAAACTATGAACTGGATATCATCAGTTAATTATTTAACATAGAAAGGAAAATACTGCTGCACTAGACAGCATTAAATGTTAAGCAGAGACCTTCAAAGACATCATGAAAACTTAGGGATACCTCTCTTTCTGAAAGCTAAACTTGGGGTTTTTCTATATTTCAAAATACCTTCTTTTCAATTTCTTGTAAAGATACTCTTGGAAATGCTGGTTTGATATGTTGTATTCCTTATGCACTGAGTGTTGTACGGTGGCATCAAATCCAATATAAGTCAGAGTATGTCATAGTAATAAGCAAAATAAGACTGAAGAAGTTTCTTACTGTTTCAATTCCTGCTCAGCAGAATAGCATCAACTGGTTAATATAATCAGTTCATTTGATTAATTAGCTTCATAAATTAGTGCAAATGATCCTTTTATCTCTGTGGTATTAGCAACTTTCTGTTTTGAACATGTACTGTGCCTGCAAAAATAGTGACTGCTTATTTAATCAGTCTGCTCCTCATATAAGAATTCATATCTTCAGAATCGTACCTATTAACTAGTGAACAAATAAAAATAAATAACCATTGACATACTATTTTTACTCATGCTAGTATTGCAGAGACAGTAACTAAAGGAAAGCAAGATAAATTCAACACATGCATTACAAAGACTTAGTTTTATAACACAAATGTAAACCCAAAATTGAATCATTCCACAAGGAAAAGAATTTCCTGTATTCTGCTTACAAAAGATAAAGAGATTACCTGGCTATAGCTGAAAGCAGAGTTAGACCTACTGAAACTTTTATTCCTGATAATCATGCTGGAGCCAGAAAGCATCTGAGCCTGAAATTCAGAGACCACCGGAGATCGCTGAAGAGACAGTTCAGAAATTCGTCTCTGACATGTCATCTCTGCAAATGGAATAGGGAATCACCGACAGAAGTAAACAAAGAATCTGCTCCTATTTTAGCACTACATTTTTCACATTACTGTTGAAGTATAGAGAAAAGGCTGAAACATTATGAAAAAAGAAACAATCTAGCCTTGCTGTACATACTTATTCACTTATCATGTCATCAGCCAACTCCCTTTCTGGAAGTGAGCAGAATTGTTGAACAAGCATGGTGATGTTTTAGTTCATGCTTCTCCCCCTGTTTGTCCTACTATGACCAAAATATTCACAGATCTACTTCATTATGTTTCACATTTCTCTTTACCTACTTGCACTACACCCTCTACAGAGCACAATTTCCCCTTAATGGTTATGCAGGACAAGAACAGAAGATCACTTCTGATTAGCTTTTTCTATCCTTTCATGACCACAAAAACAACTTGTCTTACTTGTGAGGTGCTAGAACAACTCACACTTCCTTTTCATCATCCATTTCTACTCGATATAGCCATATGTAAAATATCAGAGAAAACAAATTTCACTCTTTGTGGTGAGGTAGGGATCTATAGTTGCTAAAAAAACCTCACACTATAAGGTTTAAGGAGTTAGAGTTTCTAAATCCTATCAAATCGGAAACAAAAGGATTTGAAGAATACTTCTTAAGACAATATGTTACAATTTGTGCTTAAAATTACCTTTTTTCATGCAGTTAGTTATAAGGTGTACCAGAGTTATTTTCTATTAGCACAGAGTACTCACTGTAGTGGACTTTGTAGTGGACCAATTCCCATTTGATCTACGTAATTGCTAAGAAAGTGCTTGTTTACTGCACAGCTCCTCTGGCAGCCAGGATCAGCTGTTAATATTACATGAATACTTTCTGGGTGTCAAATGCAAGAGATTTCAACCAGACTATTTTCTGTAACATCTTTTCTGTTTGGTGTACAGCTTTACTGAATTCCAAATTCAGTGCACAACTCTTGTCTTCTCAAACTTGAAGGAAGTAGACATGAACCTGAAAAGTTTAGAACTGCACTGCTTGGGTTAATCATATGTTTATAAGTTTTAATGTGCCTGCTTTTGTCAGACAGGCATATTTTATAAAAAAGTTACACACAGAATAGAACTGCACCATAACTTTACTGTTTCATTATCATTATTCTTTTTTCTCTGTACCCTACAAATTGAATTCCCTCTATCTGGTAACCTTATTGGACAACTTTTCCTGACTGTATTTGCTGCTTTGTTGTGCTTTTTGTTTTGTTGGTTGTTTTCTTTTTCATTACTAATCAGTTCTTCCAGAAGTGCTCTTGAAAGGAACTATACACACTGGAAGATCCATTGATGTAAGTCAAAATAATAAACTGAGAAAAACAGGCAGGATAAAGACAAGGAAGGAGTGGAGAATATTTTAAATAGAAATGCGAAACTTCCTCTACAAATTGAATTGTATCATAGGAAAGTTCAGGTAGAAAGAGACCTCAGGATGTCTCTAGCCCACACTCAAGCTCACAGCAGGGCCAGCTTTGAAGTCAGATCAGGTTAAACAGGGTTTCATCTCACTTGATGTTAAAAACTTCGGCGGATGGAGACTGCACAACCTTTCTGCAACTGGAACTCTATTCCAATGCCTGCCTGTCCCTCAAGAGAAAATAGTTTTCCCTTACATCCAGTTAGAATCTCTATTTTTTCCCCCCAATTGATGCCTGTTGTTTCTCCTCCTCTCCCCACGCCCCACTGTCAACAGCCTGGCTCCATCCTGCTTAGACCTCTGCTGAACTTGTCCCTTTATCAAGGTCCTTCCTGTATGAAGGGGCACAAAAACTGGACCTGGTATTCTTGATGTGGTCTTCATGGCCTATAGTGCTAAAGATAGATAAATTATAGTAATTCTCTGGAGTGATCCCCTCACCTCCACTGTCATGTCTCTTCTAGTCTTTATTTAAAGTAGCTGCAAAGCTTGTAACAACAGCTCTTAGTCACAGCTCTGCAGCAGAAGAGGTGTTACAGGCAGGTGCTCTGCCTGTAAAAGTAAGTCTTTCAAAGGATGGCAGAGGACTCTGTCACCATGAATACATTTTAAAGAAACTTTTTAGGGTTTTTTGGTCAGAATTCCTCATTAGGAAAAGGAGCAAGTTCCACAAACACCCACTGCTGCTGTAGAAGGGCTTGCTCCTCCACACTGCCTTTTTTTGCTCACCAACTGGTGGGACAAGCTTAGTGTGTAAGGCAGCTACTTCAAAAAGAAAAAGGCCTCTTCCAAGTCATCTTTAAAGAGAGCTAACCTCATGCTTCTAGAATTTCTGCAACTTTTTAATGTATGTTTCAGTATTACAAAACTGATTTTTTTATTCTTTCTTTTCATTCTCCCTCAACACCTCTCTACTCCCTTCAGTTTCTGTAGATCGTGGTTTTATATTCAAAGAAAACTCTTAATACTAATCACTCAGAGAGATTTACCGAGGCAACCCGAAGGCTCCAATTCCCAGGTTGCATTGAATTCCTGAGAGAATCTGGCTCCAAACTCCTCCAGGTTCTTTTTTAAAATGTCATTCTTAAATTAATATCGTGCAACTGGAAGTATTTGCTCTGAGTATTAAAAAAAAATCTTTGCTGTTCTGCTAGTTTAATTTTCTAAACATTTCTTCTTACAGACTGACTCAATAGCCACATCAGGGTAAACCTAAGTGGAGTAAGAATAAGCTTCTCATTCAGTCACACAGTGCACTCCTGCTTGATTGGAATGGATATTGTACATAATATGTCCCTGCAGATGTTTTCTCCAGTGGGGCACATTGAATTTCATTTAAATGCCAAGGCTCAAAATCTAAAACAATGTGACTTTAACAAAAAATCTGATGAGGAATTTGATGAGAAAATGGCAAGAATTCCTGTGGCATTTGGGTAACAATTTCAAGCCTTCGTTTTAATAGAATAAACAGGATCATATTTCATTCAAAACTGGCAATGAGATGAGCTTTGGGTATTACATTGATATAAACCAATAAAGAATTTGCAAATTTGAAGCACTAATTAACAGACACAATATTAAATGAAAAAAGTTTGCTCCAGGGGCAAATATATTTTGAAGACTTTAAACTTTTATTAAAAGACAATTTTGAATAGCTTCTTCTGCATTTGACTATTTTGTTAGTTTCAAAGAGGGGGAGTCTTGTGTTTTTAAACTAGCATGTTTAATATAGTTGGAATATAAATGAATAAAATAACAGTCTCTCTTTTTCCTTTCTGAAATAATAACTCAATGTCATGTCACTTCACGAGAAAAGAAAAATATCTCATAAGTTGAACCTACACAGCTGAGAGCTGTGTAAGAGGATGTTAGTATTTTATTATCTACATTGAACTGCAGTGCTATTTCTATTGAATGATTTTTTTTTTAGTCTTATAGTGCTGAATCGAAAAGCACTCATATTTAGAACCTGACTGTACTATTATGAGAGTCCTAGGAAAAATGTATAAACAACAACAAAAAAAATTGGAACTTTTGGTTTACTGGTCACATATGTACCATAGTAAGAAGATTTTCTCTACCTAATTGCAATGCTGCACATAGTAGCCTTCTTGATACTACAATATCCAAGACTTATGTATCTAAAGACTCATACTTCAGAAAATGGGAATGTCAGCTAGAATATTAAGGAATGAAATCTATGAGACCGACCTTCAAATAGGATACTAGAGACTGTTTTTTGAAACAAGTGGTTATTTCATCCTAAGCACAATACCATCAAAATCTGCTGATGATAAAGTCACTTGCTCTGACAACTCAGCAGCTGTGCTTCACTTAAAAGTTGTCATATATTTAATTCATTAGCAAGCCAGCTACCTGCTTCAAGAAATTAAGGATTTTTTCACTTCCAAATGTAGTTATCATTTTCTCTTTTACACTCTGTGTGATAATTGTGCACCGGTATCTAATCCCACAGCAGCAGGTCCATGGTCCCTTGTACCTGATCTTCAGTGGTGCTTCCATTTTTTCTAACTGCTTTCATTTTTCTAAATACAGTTGATTGTAGTACCTTTTTTTTTTATTTAAAAGAAAATTATGAGGTAAGTGTTTAGAAAGGTAATTGATCTGTAGTCTAGAGATAAAAGGCCTGATCTTTCCTTCTCATACTGAGTGTGCATCAAAGTCAAGTTGAAGCACTTCACATGCACCGCTTAATGAAAATTTGTAGAAAATGGAATATAAAAAAAGCCATTAGCTATAAAAATAAATGACAGGAAGTTCTGCAATCTATTCACTGGCAATTTGTGTATCGCTTATATTCAAATCTATACAATCTACACATACACATGTAATACTGCCTAAGATTTATGAACACCGGATTCACAAAATCTCACACATTGCGTGTGTAATTTGTATGCCCATAACTCTATATCTGAAAAATGCCCAGAATAATTTGGGGCAAGGATCCAAAGTGAATAAGCTTGTATATTTTTAAAATGCGGACGTAGAAAGCCCTCATAAAAACAAATGCAAAGTTTGGAGGCAGAATGCAATCTGTTCCTCCCTCTCTACATCAATGCATATGTCAGAATTACAGGGCATAACCCACACTAGATTAGTGATCTTTAACTTACAAACAGAACATCCAGGCTTCCTCATGCATCTAACCCAAATTTATAACCTGGTTCAAAAACCAAGGGAGAACCACCTCCTTGGAGGCATAAAAGCATGAACTGTGAATAAGAACACACATCCTCCATGGCAGAAGTCAGAGCAGAAGGCCAGGTCAATACAGATACGATCTGGATGGGAGAAGGAAAAGAGGGTCCCTGTCCTATGTGTCATGCTGGGTGTGATCACGTGCTCCAAGACATGTGGAGGGCAGGACAGAATCACAGAACATGCTGAGCTGGAAGAGGCTCATCAGGATCATCAAGTCCAACTCCTGGCCCTGCACAGGACAGCCTCAAGAATCACAGCATGTGTCTGAGAGCATTGTCCAAACACTTCTTGAACTCTGTCAGGCTTGGTGCTGTGACCACTGCGCT